TGAGAGAGCGAAGGCAGAATGCACGCATGCGTGCCAGAAGATCTCTTAGCCCTGATTACTGACAGGATCCTGTCCTCACTCCTGGCTAGCTAATGAGTTGATTAGCTAGCACTGTATATATGCAAGTCTGTTGCCAGCAGTCATTTGTGCTGGCAACGTCGTTTGTTCAGGACCTGAATCCTTGCATCTCTGCTCCAGACCTTGTGGAATTCTTCTCGGCTTGATCCTCGGCTTTTGACCTTTGGCTTTGTTGACCCTGCGTTCATCTCTGACTCCTCTGGTATTGTTGTGATTTATGGACTTGAAACTTTGGTATGTCTGACCCTGCTTTTGGACTGTGATTTAAACCTGCTTGAACCTTGCTACCTGATTTGCCCGGCTTGACCTCGGACTGTTCCTGGACTTTTGCTTGCTTGTGTCACGCCCCCTGGTCCTGCCGTGACACCATGCAGAGACAGCTACCCTCCCGACAGTGATGGTTATTCCAGGCAGAGACAGTTTTATTTTAAAATATGTCCATATAATAGCGGGTCCTCCGACAGAAACTTGTAATTTAGTTTTAAGAAATGGAGTCATGTCACAAACATGGGAGTTGGCAAAGATTATAGTGTTTCTCAAGAAGGGTAAAGCCCTTACATCACTAAATTCTTACAGGCCAGTCTCCTTGTTGAATCAGTATGTTAAGATATTTACAGCCATTTTAGCAACTAATTACATTCATATGGATTAAGTCGAATTTATGGCTAATAGGAATCTCACTGATAATATGTGTAAAATCTTAAATATAATCAATCATTGCAAGAATAACCAAATTGAAGTGATTATTTTAGCTCTTGACATTGAAAAAGCATTTGATAGTTTGTTAACTCCCTATTTAAATCTTTTACGACATCACATGGGCTTTGGTGATAATTTTATTCGAGCTATTTAAACTCTATTTAAAAGCTCAAGTTAAAATAAATGGTATATGTTCGGAGGAGTTCACTCTCGTGGTACAAGGCAAGGTTGCCCTTTTTTGCTAATTCTATTCGCGATATCTGTTGAACCTTTATCTTTATTAATTAGGCATCATTTACAGATCAAGGGTATTACTATTAAAGAAAGGGAATATAAAATCAGTTTATTTGCAGACGACATAGTATTATATATTTCAGAACCGATGATATCTTCATATGCTTCAGAGGAAACCACAGGCAATTTTAGCAGTACTTCAGGTTTAAGTATAAATCCTTCCGAAACAGAATTTTACTCTCTGAATTTATGTTCAGATCTTACTAATATTGGTAAAGACAGGTTTCCATATAAATTGGTCACTAAATATTGGCAACACCTTGGCATTAAAATTCCTCTGGATTTGAAAGACTTTTTAAAATATAACCATTTAGAATTAGATCTCTCAATGGTTAGTTTATTGAAACAATGGAATGAGACTTCTTTATATTGGATGGAAAGAATCAATATTGTAAAAAAAATATTTTTCCTAAATTCGTATTTTATTTTAGAGCTATTCCTATTCCTCATAAAATTCTTTAAATATGGCCAAAAAAATTAAATGATTTTATTTGGAATTACAAGAAACCAAGAGTTGGTTTTAAAACATTGCGAAGACCTTCAAAATCAGGTGGGCTCAAATCTTCCAGATTTGAAACTTGCAATGATTGGTATCTTCTTGTCCTTCCAGTAAGCTGCTAACAAAGATTTAGCTACTGCTAAAAGTGAAGCTATTAGATCTCTCAGAACAGCTGGGATCGATGAATCCTGCCAATAGTTCAATAGAATTGCTTCTGGTCTCACAGGGACTGAATAACCTGTAATATTCCTATCTTAACCAACACTTTCCCCCAAAACTTTCTAATATTAGTACAACTTCGCCAGCAGTGTATAAATGTCCCTATTTCCCCGCATTGTTTCCAACGCAGGGGATGGATTTTAGGATCTATATGATGTAATTTTAAAGGAGTCAGATATCATCTCACAAGTAATTTAAAAAATTGCATGAAAATATTAACTGCTTTTGATTGAAGAGTTTGTGAATGGCATATTTTTCCCCATTGTTGTTCAGAAAGCTCCATATTACAATCTATATCCAAGGCTTGTGATAAGGTGGAGAGATCGAAGTATCCATGCAAATCAGGATCTTATACATTTTGGAAATAAGCCCTTCTTTAAGGATTTTTCAAAGTCAGTGAGAGACTAGTTAAACTATTCTTAATCCCTTGGTGCTACCAAGTGTTTTACTTGTAGGTATTCAATCCATGGGATTTTAGTTTCAGCAGTTTCTTCTAGCTCAGTTTTATCAATTATATGACCCTTATGGATCACATCCAATAAATGAAATAGCTTATTGCCTCTCCATACTACAAAAGAAGCATCAGAGATGCCAGGCAAAATCCAATTTTGATCTAGAAAAAGACGTCAAACGATGGGGCTAGTTTCAATCTCATATAATCCCAAATATGAAAAGTGTTGGCAAGAAAAATATTGTGTTTAATATATGAAGGTTTGCTTATTCCAGATTGTCTCAGAAAGTTTTTTAGAGCTAACATAAGATTGTTCAATATTAATCCAATCAATAGTTGGTGATGGATTTAATAGCAAATTTTTGAGAACAGTTGCCTCATAATAGAAGAAGAAGAAGAGATTGGATTTATACCCCGCCCTTCACTTGGAGTCTCAGAGTGGCTTACAAACTCCTTTCCCTTCCCCTCCCCACAACAGACACCCTGTGAGGTGGGTGGGGCTGAGAGAACTCTGACACAAACTGCTCTTTTTCAAGGACAGCTGTGCCAGAGCTTGTGACTGACCCAAGGTCACATCAGCAGGTGCAAGTGGAGGAGTGGGGAATCAAACCCGGTTCTCCCAGATTAGAGTCCGCGCACTTAACAACTACACCAAACTAGCTAAAATGGCGGGGAGTACATAGCACATATGGTTTGTACTTTGTGTTTGTCGCAACCAAGTATAGCTAATAATTGTACTTATCGATGTCCAGTTGGTTAATATGTTTTTTAAATTGTATTTTCAAAAGGTTAAAAATAAGGTTTTTTAAAAAAATAGGAGGGCACCCAGGACTTGGGCCATTGATCTGAGATGTTTTCATGTTCAAGTCTGGAGGCCTGTTTCTCCTATTCAGACTGTTGTTTTCCTTGGGATATGTGAGTGACCTGACTGGTGTTGATCATATTAATCATTGTGTAAGGTTGGATAACATTTTTTTTTCAGCCTTTGGCTATTTTGGTGTTACTAAAATGTTTTGAAACCATGCGTTCTCAGAGCTGAAAGTTTTTGACTGAAAAGAAAAAAATAACCGTACCATGTTAAGGGACTCTAAGGTTCCTAGATCCAGATCCTGTTGCCACCTGAACTGTTTTCCAAATTAAAATCTTAAGTAGGTTGGAGGAGAAGAAGCCAGAACAATGGAAAGAACTATACAGTGGGTTAAAAGGGAAAGCTGTCGTCTGTTGTTCTTTCAGATGTTGCTGCAGTCCACTTAAGGGGTTATTGAATGAAGATCCTATGGGAGCAGTCTGGCTGAACTGTACATGTCTTAAGTATCCAGGAGATGGCAGTGTGCAGCTGGCATAGGGAGGGTTTTTTGTTTGTTTAATTCAGTGTGCCTAACCCAGAGCTATCAGAGATTCCCAGAGTTTTGGAGAGAAACTTGGCTTTTGTGGAGGGGGGAGCATTTGCGTCAATTTAAATTTAGTTTCCTCCCCTTTTGAAATGTTACAGAGCTTCTCAAGGAAAAAAGTAATTTTTCCTGTCATTTGGGGATCTCAGGATCTCCTCATCTCTATTTTGCTCTTACAGCAGCCCTCTGAGGTAGATAAGCAGAGAGAGACACAGGTTGACTCATGGTTGAGTGGGGATTTGCACCCAGCTCTTGTCCAGCATTCTAATCTCTACACTCTGCACATTATGTAGTTCTGTTGTTGAAATGCCTGGATTGGAGATCACCTGAAAAATATATTTGGAATGGAGGACAGTAGGGGGGAAATAAGGGGTTATAACCCTTAATGTTTTAAAATGATTCTCAAAAAAGCAGCAAGATAGTTGAACAGAATCCGCTCATGATCTGGTACCTCTGAAATTTTTACACTTGCATTCCATGCGGCATTCAGAGTTGCAACAGTCAAGCTCACTCATATGCTGGGGAGTGGAGTCACATTGCCTAGACTAGTCCCAAAACACAGCTTGTTGAAAGAAGAAGGGGTTTAATCAATACAGGCCCTGGTCACACGGAGCATTAGGCACGCTAGAGAGACAGAAGATAGGCGGATTTTCCAGGTGCGATCTCACTGCCACATCTGGAAAGCGTAGAGCTCCCGTGGCGCACCCGAGGCTTCCCGCCGAAGATGCGGGGTAAAAAACTAGTACCTCAGAGGTACTAGTTTCCGGAAACCACGGGGCAAGGGCGGGTGTCTGATCGCGTTTCTGGTGGTAGTTCCGGCGCCCGCCCATGTCCCCTCACAAAAAGGTTTTTTTTCCCCCAAGTCTCCATGGATGCGCACAAGCACACGCACATTTCAGTTTTTTTAAAAAAACACAACCCCATTTGCCGCGCCGCTCCGCTTCTTTGCCGCGTTGTGTGATCGGCACCTTCCCCCTAACCACGGGAGCTTGACGGGACCTCAACCTGACACCTGATCGTGCAGTCGTGCGTTAGTTTGCTCCGGGGCAAACAGCCACGCCTCCCCCCCCCCACATTTTCCTGCCCGTGTGGCCGAGGCCACAGATTTCTTTTCCTTTAAAGCCAGTGTGACTTGAAATACATTTCCTTGTTTCATTATTAATAAGCACACTGTGTTGTGCCATGTGGGGACAGTGCATGGGTGGTGAAGGAAGAGTACCATGGTCTTCTCCATAGTCTAGATTTTGCTTTGTAATTGATATTTTCCAGGATACCATTGGCAAAGTTTTCATGCTAATGTCCACATTTGTAGATTTGCTTTGAAAACAAGGTAATGGAAAACAGGCTTAGCTATTTGCTTTTTTTCCAGGTTTATCCATTGTAATGATGATTCCCCAGATCCCAGCCTGCAGTATGGGGTAAGAGAGAGTTCCTCTTTCTAGGCAGACTTTTGCATATTGGGATCAATGGCATTACAGCTCAGGCTTTATTTTCATGTTTGTTTAAGAAAAAATGCCACTGAAAGGGAGAACGCCCCCACTTATACAAACACAAAGGACAGTGCAAATGTCCTTGGATCACCTCATTTATTTATTTATGTTGTTTATAAGCTACCTTTCTCACAGGGACTCAAGGTGGATCACACATAGTGAGTCAGTACAATCAACAGAATGGGACATTCAGTAGCCAGTGTATTAGGACTGAATGACCTCTGTCTGACTAAACAATTGGCCTTGCCACTTTGTCTGAATTTACACCACTTACTCTTTTTACAAACCTTTTTTGCTGGTGCAAGAAAATGGGGCTCGTAGGTTGGATCCCGCAAATAGATTCTGCTAATGACAGTGCCTTTCCCTGAAAAGGCTTTTTGGTTGGGGGAGGCATTGCTAACAGAACAGATCCATGGGATTCAACCCCTTGTGAAAATTTTGTTTTCACACCTGAATAAGAGATTCTGGGGAGAATTCTCAGTGGATGACCTTCACTTTCCTACACTGCTTGTCAAATAGGTTGCCCGCTGTTTCAAACAGGATGCCAAATTAGACAGGCCTTTGACTGACCCTAACCAGGCCAACTTGTGTGTTAAGAGTGGAAGAGCCTTGCTACAGTGGACTGAAGGACCATCTGGTCTAGCATCCTGTTTCTCCCAGTGGTCAGCCAGAGGCCTGTGAGTGATCATGAGCAGGGTATGTACTGATGGCCATTTGGTGGCTTCCTTGCCTTTCTTGGTGGAGGCTCCATTTTTTAGATTTCCTGCAAGGTTATCATATAATTTTTCTTCAGGAAACTTGGAGTCAGGATCTAGAACAGCTCTCTATTAAGGGCTACAGGTCTTTACAAGTCCCCGCAGTTAAAATCCATTCAAAAGGCCGGGGTTCTGGAGGTTTGGCAATTTTCATAACAGTAGATCTGGATGTTGAACTACAAGTACTGGAAAATAGTTGTCCAAGTAATTTTCAAACCACACTAATCAAAGGTCTTAATTTTGGTAATCTTATATGTATTAATGTGTATGTACCACCAAATAACTTCAAGTATAAGCCTAACGGAAGTCTTTGGGACTCCCTGGAAACCTCCATAGAAGCCTTAACTTCCCAGTTTCCCAATTCACATCTTATACTTGGTGGTGACTTCAATGCTAGAATTGGACCAGGTGCCTTAGATATAAGAGCTAGTACGAACTCTCTAATTGCTGCTCAAGCGTCTCTATTTGATCGCTCTTCTAAGGACAAGGTTATTAACAAATCTGGACTTAAATTCTTGGAATTGCTCTCATGGGCTAATCTACATGTTCTAAATGGTACCTATTTGGATGTATCTGGTGGCTCCTTCACTTTCCTGTCAACGTTACGGGCCAGTACAATCGATTACTTTGCCATACCATCTGCCTTAGTGAAATATGTAGACAGGTTTGAGGTTGTTGATAGCCCTATCTGGTGGCTCCTTCACTTTCCTGTCAACGTTACGGGCCAGTACAATTGATTACTTTGCCATACCATCTGCCTTAGTGAAATATGTAGACAGGTTTGAGGTTGTTGATAGCCCTATAAGCGACCATTGCCCATTAAGACTCATATTTAACCTCAATGATAACATTTTTCTGAAACCAGTTCCAGAATTTGCTGAAGATACCCTTCCAGGACATAGGAGACTCAGGTGGTCAGACGAACTAAATATGAAATTAGCTCAAATCCTTGCTACTCCAGAGATGGAATCTATGAAGGCAGTTCTTTCTTTGCCAGATAAGGACACCATTAAAACT